CAAAAAAAAAAAAACACAATTCCTGAACATCGACGAGACCTTTTACCACTGGAGCGCTGTCACCAGACGAGGAGCCGGCGGAGGAGACCTGAGCTGGCGTTTAAAGTATCCCTGCCATCGTCTCTCCTCTCCGGTCCTCTGCAGAACACATTAACTCCACAACTTCACAGAGACAGGCTGAGGACCAAATGTCGCACATCAAAAACGACTGGCGTGGATGTATAAACATACGTTCTCAAACAAACTCACAGCCTTGTGTGTGTGTGTGTGTGCACAAACCCTCCCCCTCCTGCACTCAACCTGTTTTTTCTGGCACGCACACACTGAAACCGACACACACACACACACACACAGCTACAGCTCTGGGAGTCACAGCCTGCTCATGTTTGCAGTGACAGATTCAGTGAGTGTTAGTTAAAAAGTACCTTCATGGTGTTTAAGAGAGAGATCTAATGGCCCCTTGAGTCCCATTAAAATCATCATTTATGTTGCAGGTTGCTGCTAAAGATTAGGCTTTTACAGATAATCATCATGCTTTACTGGAGCTGTTCCTCCATTGCTTGTATTTTAACAGTCCCTCTGTTTTAATTTACTTAATTATACAGTGAGGCGCAATATTAATCAACCCTTAGAGTATGCAATGGGGAGTACATTTCCGAGAAGAGCGTCAGACTGCATCCAATATCTGCACGATACACTAAAGGTGAAGTAAAAACAAATCCTGCAGCAGCAGAGGGTAATTTTGCTCCAGAGGAAATGGCCGTAAGAAAAAACAATTTCCCTCCAAAAAATGTTTTCAAAAGGCTACGCGATGATCCAACGTGCAGTGGAATTTGGAAGCAGCAGGTTGTGCGTGTGGGTTATGAAGGCAGAGGTGAGGAATAACAGGAGGTTCCTCTGGAGTGGAGCGCTTGATTCATCCGTGGAAAGACCTCGCTCCGGGTGATTTCACTATGCAGACGACAGTAAGTGCTCCTGTGACCGGGCTGAGGAGGAACGCGCATGGGCACAGATATCCACACGCACTTGTGGGAAGCCGGCCACCGCCGCAGTGATCTCCTCATCAGTCGCAGTTATCCCCTTTCCTTTAACGGGGAAAATAGCATTCTAAAAATAAAAAAAAGAAAAGCCACAGCATTCCTCTGACAATGCCCGTGTCTGTATAGCATGAACAGATGGAAGCTGTTGGCTCTAAGGCCCCCGCTTAACGTCACTCTAACATCTCATTGTTGTCGTTTATGGCGGGCTGCTGCTTCGTTGGCATTTTCATCCCGTGGAGACTTTAGTTTTTAACGAAGAGGAAGTAAATGAGAGCTCTGTTGCTAACGACAACAAAAATTAAAGTGGACATTTAATGTACCAGCTTTCATGAATCGCGTTGAAATGCCCCCTTTATCTTGTGGATGACGGGTTGGTTTTCCATTCTTGCTGTCAGTTTTTATTGTTCGCCTTCCTTTCTGTCTTTGTGCAGTAAATAATTACCATTTTCCGTCTTGCTATTAAATGCTCGCCATTTATGCTGCTGTGAAACGTGTGCGCTGGTCCTTCTGAGCCTTCCTTTGTGATTGGCTGACAGTGCAAACGCAGGCTGAATTCTCTCCTGCTCCATCAGTTGAGGTGGCGGATGACGTGTCGATTTAAATAAGGTGAAGAATCTAAATCGGTCATCCATGGCTTACCCACTCTAGCTTGCTTTAATTTGGGCATGGCCGCCTCGGCAGGGGACATCGGGTCTGAAAGCAAGGATGCAGACTGTGCTGACGGACCCCTGAAATGGTGGCGGTTAAAAAGTAGCACAGGCCAGAGAATGCAGGTTGGGCGCTTCGACGATACAGTTGATTCTTTGCTCACAATTGAATTGCTTTTTAAATTGGAAATGTAGTTCTTAACGCACCATTGCACACTGATGTGGGAAGATAAATGTGAGTGAAATGAGAGTGCTCACGTTCGCATGTTATCTCCATATATATATATATATATATATATGTTCAGAGGGAGCAGGTTCAATCTGGGCTTTTGAATGTCCCTTCTCTACACTGCAGACGTCCATCCAACATCGTGCTCCCGCAGTGTCTTCACAGTTAATTGACCTGCCACGCGGATCGACTCGCTTACTCTAATGAAAAGGAGACAAATTATATTAATGGAAATGCCACAACGTCCTGTTTGACGGACATGTGCTTCTTTCACCTCCAATCCGATCTGTCCGTCAAGCGTTTCGTTGTCTCCGACTGCGTCATCAAACCTGTGAAAAGTTATTAGCTGATGAGGGTTTACTGCCGAGTAAGCTGCGTTCAAATTAAAATTCTGACCCGAAAACCAACACTCGGGTGTTTTTCCCGATTGCTAAAGTTTCTCCTTTGCAGTATCCTGCAGGAATGTCAGTCCCGAAGCAGAAGCAGTGGCCCCTGTGGTGCCTTCAAACCGTCCAGGATCCAAAGGCATGTGAGCCTGTAAATTTGTCTTCATAAAGTACAGTCACCATGATTTCTGCATACAGAAGCTCTAAATGCCATTTTTACAATTCTTGAATCTAAGAAATATGCATTTAACACAGTTAATTCAAGGATCCTGTAGAAAGTATTCAGATAGTGTATCTCAGTAAAAGTACCAATCACACAATGTGGAATAAAATATAGTACTGTTCAGAATTTCATGTCATGCCAGTTTGTTTTCACCTTGTTCATCAACTCCCACTAATCAGCACTCACCTGACACTCACCTGATACTCACGGCCTCCTCACCTGCAGCTCATTCCTGCATCAGTCCCATCGCTATTAAGGTCCACTCACCTGCCCGGATTGTTTTGTGCGTTTGCGGCCTACCCTTTGGGATTTGTTTGCCTAATATTCTGGTGTGACCCGGCCTGTCAACAAAGGATGAACTTGAATATGATTGTGTGATATTTATAAAAGGATGAGCTGAATCATCAGTTTTTTGTTGGACAGAAAAAAAGGATTAACTATGATTCATCGACAAAAAAAAAAAATACAACTAAGAATGTGGTGGAGTAAAAGGCAAACGCGTCCCTCTGAATTTTATTTGGGGCAGTACCAAATTAAATGTACTTAGTCAAGCGCAGGCAATTAAGATAGTTTTTTTTGTATCGTAAAACAGTGACACAGTGCAGCACATGTACCTTTTTTGAACCTGCAGGTGGAGGTCATTCATGTTTTCATTAACAGGCCTGAGTGAATTATGGACCCAAAGCTAAAACCCAGTGCCGGTCCCTCTGGTCAGTGTCATTAATTCCTGACATGGCAGTGTCCTGCTGCCGTCCTGTGAAAGGCTGCACCGCGGTCTGTTTCTGACAGATGGATTTGGACTATTGAAATAACTTTTCAATACCGCAGTGGGACACGCTACATGCTTTGTCTGTGGAGCACATTTAGAATTATTTTTTTCCCTTCCTTTGCTGCCGTTCTCCTGCTTATTTATATTGTGCAATATGGAAGTGAGTCAAAGACCATTTCGATGGTCGTGAACAGTGGAAGGCTTTTATTTTAATCTGTTGTACATTGCTTTTGGAAATCAGACCAGGTTTTTCATGACGAAATTGATGAGAAGAGATCGAAGCCAGAGTATAACAGGCCAACTAACCAGACAACAAAGCTGCACCTCATGTAAAATGAAATGTTACTACATCAGTGTTTTAAAAGGGGTTATTTTATTTTATTTTATCCAAGGACCATGCAAGTAGTTTTACAGCAGAAACTAGTATTGTGTGTTTGAGTCTCCCCACAGGCATCATGCACTGTGAGCCCTCTACTGGTCACACAGACACCCATTCTGTGGTCCCACCTGAAGCAATGGAAAGCGATTACTAGAATGACAGTGACAAGAAGTGCCGTAGCCAGTGTGATAAATGTCACATATTCTTCACATCAACTGAATGGAATTTGTTTTTTTCCGCATTATAATTTAATCGGACAACCAGTCTTTGTGATCAAGTTTCTATTCTAACAGAGTCCTGTCAGTGAACAAACAGAAGCCTTCCTTCTAAAAACAGACTTTGAATAAACAAAAAGAATCTTCCACCCTTATATATAAGCCACAGCGCATATAATGTTCCTCTCATTGTTACTTGAGCAAAAAGAACAGCTTTGATTATGTATCACTGAAGCAACATTAGCCTTAGAAAAGTTTTTTTTTATATCAATGCTGTTGTATTTTACATAACAGTGCTTTTACGATTTTTATATATTGTCAAATTTAAGTTAAATAGTCATTATGCTACCAGACCGAATAACTCCTTCATTTGTCAGCACGTCACTCTGAGGACCACCTCAATATTATGGACTGTTAGTGGTAGTAAATGACCCTTACCGACGCGTCTCGGCATCACTTGCTGTGATTTATTCCCGTCGCCTGAGCAGGAGCAGTGCGCATGCGCACCAGATTTCCCAACCACATGCGTTTGTATAACGCCTGAATCAATTTAGCAGAAACACGAAGAGCCGCAGCGGAAGTTGTTCAAATGAATCTCAGTATTAAGGCATGATATCGATTATTGAATAAAAACCCAGTCCGAGGAAACAAAATATGTGTATGAGCGATAATATAAATGAACTCATATGTACCGTTTTTGATAAATATACCCTGGCCAATTGCTATTTCGGTGAGAATAAAACAACACATATCAAGGACGAGAATATGCCGAAGTGGAAGACTGGCTTTATGAAAACGGGATTAACGTGGGTCCAAACACATGAATAAATCCGGTAACAAGTAATTGAAAATTAAAGTATATGTATATAATTCATAGGGCCTATGTTTTTACTTTTAATTTTTTGTGTGTCCAAAAAAACCCTGCACATTTTTTTGTGTTGATAACTACGTCCTAATAGGATTCAAAACAAACAAAGTGGAGCTTATTATTTTTCACATGCACTCGTCTAATGCGCGAACTCAAAGCCGCGAGCTTTATTTTGAAAGCGCCACCAGAAGTCGCGGTTGCCATTCCGGCCGACTTTGAGCGCCGTCTCGGGCTCGTCCAGCATTGGCCGCTGAGCATCAGAGCGCTGGTCCTCCTCCGCGTCGGCGCGCGACCCGCAGCTCGTTCGTTCTCTCCTACCGGACTCCCGGCCGGAACGTGCAGCGCTCCCGGCCCCAACATGGGCTAGAGAGGAGGCCACTTTGCGCACTTCGCCGGGGATGATGATGATGATGATGAAGATGATGATGGGGGTTCGGTTGGCGGTGGGGCGAGAGGAAGAAACGGACTTGTTTTCGCTCAGACATCCTTGACAAAGACGGGGAGCGAGAGGGGAGAGCGACCGGGACTAACCGCTCCTCTCCGTCCCGCTTGGCATCTTTGACATTTTTGTTGTTGTTGTTTTTCCCCCCCCTATTTTTATTTTTATTTTTTGTTTTTGAATTCTGTTCTTTCCCGCGTGCGCGCGAGGCAGAGAGATGTTCGCAGAATCGCTGTGCGGCGCCGTGGCTCTGCTCCTGTATGTCAACACTCTGGGCGCCGATTTCTGCTACGATGACAGGTAACGCGAGTGAATGAATGACACCCGGCTCCGATGCTGCTAACGTCGGCTTCTTCCCCTCACCTACCCCCCCACACACACACACACACACCCTGGATCTACCCTGGAAAGTCATACAGGGCTTCATCCATCATGCTGCAATAACTCCGAATGAGTCAAAACAAGCAGTCTGCGCGCCCCCGAAAAGTACCCATTGATCAATAGAGGGTGGTGCCTTCAGGGGCAAGTGGAGTGATCCATCTGCCCCGCTGGTTGTCCTCACCCATCTGCAGTAGCTACTCTGTGGGAAACTTTGAAGTCAGTGTAACAAATCCTGCAGACATTTAACATGTATGTGCTTTTAGAGGGTCTAGTGACCAAACCAGTGCCCTCCCAAACTGTCATATTCCTGCAGCATCCCCTCCAGCTATCTTTCTAGAATCGTTGTTCCTGGTGAACACCGTGAAACGCACGACTAAATAGGAGTGTGCGCGTTGCAGTCTCTGGAGCGTTGGACTTAAGTCCTGAGTCGTGCTCAAGGAAATAATTGATCTCTGGAGGACCGACATGTCTCCTGACTCTCACCAAAAGTCCCCCGCTCTATCTGATCGTGTGCAGCCATGCAAACAACTTTGTGCAAAGTGTCCTTTTTTTTTTTTTTCTTTCTTCTCATTATTATTAATTTAGTCGCCACCGTGCACTTAAAGCGCATCGGCGGGCGTGATGCTCGGTTCGGCCCGCTGCTCTCACCCACAGTGATGCATTACTCATAGCTGGCCGTTTGGCGTCTGATGGCCGAGTGGCTGTCAGTGCCTCGGGCTTGTTTCTGCACCGTCCAGGCTCTCATGTAGGTCAGAGGCAACTTGCTGCTGTTGTACATGTTGATGTATAATGAGCTTGTATTTAAAGATATTGTTGTATGTGACTCACTCCCCCACCCCTGGTTTGTGTATAACGGGTGCACCCAGGGGACACACTTTAGTCAAGTAACACTACATAAACATCTTCCACATCTACCTGTAGGTGTATTTCATTGCTTAGCTCTGTACATGGAACGCTTCCTGCCCAACACGTCCCCCAAAGGCCCTTTTTTTTTTCTCTTTCGTTAAAAGTCAAATACTTCTCTCTAGTAAAAGCCGCCTGCTTCCTTTTGTACTTGGTGTTAAGGTCAGGTGCATCAGGCGGCAGGTTTGCCACAGCCCCGGTGTTTTAGTGCAAGACGGAAAGCCAAACCCTGATTGCATTCTGATTTTAGCCTGTGAAGGGAAGGTAACAAATGTATCTGCGTTTGAGCTTTGGGCCCAAGTCACAGCAGGCTCCCTAAACCGATGCCCGCCTCAATGACGTGTTCTGTCTCCCGCGGCTTCTCGCTCACCCAGCGCTGTCTGTTCTTAACACCATGTGTTCGGTTCGGGCTTGCAATTAGCAGCCGTCTCCTGTCCCCTCGGGGCTCCGCTGGGGGAGGGAGGGGTCCTGAGTGTATATCGCATTTTCAACGGAGGGAAGAGTCTGTTACGATCGCCGAGTCACAAGAGCAGAATTAGCAAGTTTACAATCAGAAATCCGCCCTCGTTGAAAATTCTGAACGTGTGGAGACCATAAATCAAACTGCACGCTTGCCATTACCTCCACACCCTGCAGCTCGTATGGGCACGATTCATTTTATCCGTGAGTCCGACGTTCATTTATGGATCATTCAGTATAATGGTTTTCAAATACACAACTGTTTAAGCACGTAAGGCCTCTAGCTTTAAAAATAAGGATTAACTGTAGATGTATTCTCTGGTGTTCATTTAATAGGGAAAAGTAAACTCTGTGGCTTCCTCTGAATGTGCATGATTAATAGCCGCAGAAGTATTAAATATGGATATTTGTCATGGTGCAGCATTGATTTCTCTCTCTCTGAGAAGACCGATTGTGCTACTTTCTTTGCTCCTGGCTGTGAAACCGATGCATTGACTCAACTCAGCGACGTGATTAAAAGTGATGATCCAAAGTTGTGTGTGTGTGTGTAAAATAGCAAATAGCTTAGAAAATACACCGGAGGTTTTTGCCATCGATTGGCTGGTAGTCTCGCATGGCGGCGGAATAAGTAACGATGTGTCGCTTCCTCTTTTTTTAGCGAAAGGAGCGCCTGAGTACACAGCCGTAAAAGGCACTCTTATTTCTTATCAGTGACTCATTCACACGGTCACACACTCATTCATTCATTCATTCATTGGAGCAAACCTTAGGGGCCACAACAAGGTGACGGGGAAGGAAAGTTTCCACGTGTGGAGAGAAACAGTCCGAGCTGTTAAAAGAAATCTTGATCTTGAATCGTGACCCTGGCGTTCTCCGTGGATTTAAAAGCTACATCCCGAAAGAGACGACAACCTCCCAGGGAGCTTTTCCTCTCTCTCTCTCTCTCTCCCTCCTGGAAACACCTCATCGCTAACGCATCCACAGCTCCGACACCTGCAGGGGAGAATGGGATTCATACGTCATGTAGTTCATATCTCTGCTGCTGCAACGTCTACAGTTAAGAGCCGAGCAAAGGAATGAAAGAGCCCAGATAAATGTCAGAGGAGAAATAGTGGCGCAATATGGCGTTGGCCGGCCGTGACCCTGCGGCCCAACGGCAACAGCAGGTGAAGGCCTCGGTGCGTTATTAGCTTGATTCCAGGGGGGGGGATTGATGTCGAAACAACACATTTTTTTGAAGTTCCTGAATGATTAAGATTCTGTTTTTCCATTTCACAGCAAAAAGGAAATTGAGCTGTCCTCAAGGTATATTTCAGACACACACACACACGGCAGCGCTATGGATTATCGTTGCCCGTCACGAGCCTGACGGATGTGACGAACTGCGGCCATCTCGTTTTTCTCTGCCCCGGTCTGACGTCTTTACGGTTCGACTGCGTGACGATGCGTGAAGGTTGCGAAGGTCACTCCGGAGGACGCCGCCTGCCTGGCTCACGGGCAATGATTTATGACGCTCAAGACAGTTGGTGAGGTGGCGAGCTGCCGCTTGGCCCCCCCACCCCTCCCCCCCGCACTCCCCGTGAGCTTTATTTAGAGAACTCGTGATCGGAGGACACAACCGATGGTTCGCGCTGTTGGATGGGAGTTTCGGGTCGATGGCGGCGCAGCGCTCTGGGAACTGACTCATATCGCTTTTAATGATCCACCAAGCACTTAAAAAAAAAAAAAACACCTTAGCAAGTCTTCATTTTATTCTATTTATTCCATCAGCAGTTTTCCTCAAAGATGCGCACACACACAAACACACAAAAGTAGCCCTATTGTCTGTCGGTGCGCTGATGTGGAACCCTTCTCTCATGGCCGGTGCTGCAGGATGGGCCGTCTGCGGTCCTGTTGAGGGGCCCAAGGGTGCGGCAACCCGGCAGTTTGAGTACCACCCCCCCCCCCTCCGTCTGCTCCCTGTAATTAGCGTCCTGCGTGCACAGAGGGACTCACGACATGGTTTTGGTAGGCGTAGCTCCCTTCCTCCCTCCCAAAGCCGTTTAGCACTCCAGCTCCCGGTCGACCGACGGCTGCCTCCAGATGGTCCCGTTTGGTGAGCAGTTTAGGGTTTTTCTCCCTTCTGCATTTTGAGGGGGGACGTTTGAAAAGGATTCAAACGGAGGATGTTTCGTTTGCTTGTAGTTGCCAGGATGGAGACATCAAAGTGACCACTAATGCAGCCGGGGAAGAGGACCTCAGGACAAAAACACATGCTATAAGAAATATATACCCTAATGGCAGCGAGTAATATGAAAGGGGTCACCCGTAATAGTCATTTAACAACCTACAGAGGATTACCTCTACGTCATCTTTTATCTAATTGGTTTTAAGGCCAGAATGGTTCACTTCCAGATTTCTCATTGCTGTTTTCAAGCGAAAAAAGTACCCGCCCGAATGCTGATGCTGTGTACGCTCGACGTGAAGGCTGAGCGCTAACGAGTTAGCCTTTCATTTCATTGTCCAGCGGAGGGGACTTTGATGCTCCTGCATTCCCTCCCTCAAATCCCCCATGTAGTACAATCTGGTGTCTGCAGGAGAGGAAGGAGACGCGTGTGAGACATTCGGTCCAATCCCACTGATTTTCTCACACGATTTCTGACCAACTTTTAGTGATTGAACCCCAATTTGCACGCTCCAACTTGACCGTTGACATAGAAAGTCCTTTTTTGTTGTTTTCATCCCAGTTCAACTTCAATTTTCCTAATGTGCTGCCACTGTGACCGTCTTCACTTTAACTCCAGTTGCCCGGAATGAAACCCCGAAAATATCACATCTTCTTTTTCATAAGATATCGTTCTTCAACAGAGAGCCAACGGAGGGGAGAAATAGTTATTTTCACCCGTGCCAACATTGCAAAATAAGCTATCCTGGCAGAATTCCATTTGTTTCTAAAAATCCCATTTAATGAGGGAAACTAACGTGTTTGTGAGTTGCTTCCTTCACGACCCAAAACCCTTCAGAGTGACTTAAACATCCGAGCTCGGGGTAGAGCGAGTTCATATTCAGGTCAATAGGAAACACCTTACTAGACCCAGAAAAGGCTTACGTCAAACTGTGACTTTGTTATTGAGTCTCATAAAGTTCGTAAAAATGCTGGCCTTTTTTTGCCGCGTTCACTGTGTTCAGGTAAAAAGGAAAAATCCTAAAACACCTGCTTATTTGGAAAATGTGCAAAAGCGATTACATTTGTGAAGGTGTTTTATTGGTGCACTTCCTAGCAGTATAACCTCTCTATGTCGAGACTTGTTTTTTTTCAGAAGGAACAGAGAAATAATGTTGGTTTGCAATGCATGCAATATTTTGTATCACGCTCTATAATTCAGCCCAGACGATATCTTGGCAAACACATAACTGCTGTATAGAAATGTGTTTGGAAAAACAAGGAGAAAGACGAGGGGGGGGGGTCTAAAAGTAATGGAACACAGAGCAGGTGCTCCTGATGGTTTGGCAAAATGGAACTGCAGACAAGAGCACTGAAGTACAAGAATTACGATTTTTAATATCACGGTCACATG